CTATCTATCTATCTATCTATCTATCTATCTATCTATCTATCTATCTACCTATCTATCATCACCTATCCTATATCTGGTGGCTCAGTGGTTAGAATTCAGGATTCCAGGCAAACTCTGCCCACAGCCAAGAGTTTGATCCTGACCAGTTCAAGGTTGACTCAGCCTTCTGTCCTTCCGAGGTGGGTAAAATGAGGACTCAAAACTGTTGGGGGCAAGAGACCAACTCTGTCAACCGCTTAGAGAGGGATGTAAAGAGAGTGTGAAGCGGCATATAAGTGTAAGAGCTATTTTGCAACCTTCCTAGCCAGCTTCCTACCATACAAGCCAAGTCAATATGGAAAGCCAGGTTCATTTGACAACCGTATGATTCACTTAATGACTGCGGCGATGACTGTGGCAAAAAAAAAAGGCTGTAAAAAATGGGGCACTACTCACTCGAGCCCCGCCTCGCTGAACAACAGAAATACTGAGGTCACGTGTGGTCAAAAGCCGGGGGCCGCCCATGGTCTCTCACTGTTCTGACCTGGGTTTCCGCAGAAAGCATAAAACACCATCTTAGTCCCGGCAAAACCTCTTTTTATTTCCACGGCTGTGAATTACGTTCATTCCCAGCCTGTAAGGCTTCACAAACAATCTTTCAGGGGGAATGTTTATAAACACCCACCTTATCGCACTTGGCACGCGGCCAGAGAATTAGTTGCCAAGCGCAGGGCAACTTGCCAAACTTGACAAAAGAGTCAAACAGCTTTTCAAAGCTTGAATCGACCAGACCAAATAATTGCTTCCTGTAAAAGCTCACGTCCCATTCGCTCCTCTTTTGTGCCCTATGGGAGGGGCCAATCATCTCTGAGGTGTGGGCCTTACTCCTGAGTCGACCCTGCTTTCTCAATTGTTCTTGTTTTCTGGTAGCCCTGTGCATGCGCAGGCTGGGAACTGGTTACAGACACCCCACCCCCCAACTCACTGCTGTCTGAGTCTGAAGGGAGAGTTGCCAGGCCGATATCTTCCAAACGCCACTCTGTAGCAGACAATAATTAAGAATGCAGGGACAGACCTTCACCCAAATGAACTAATTGTCTCCTGCAAACCCCACTCCCCTTTCGCTCCTCTTTATTCCCTACGGGAGGGGCCATTTACCATCCATCTGTGCCCTTACTCCCGAGTCAACCCTTGTTCCTTAGCTGTTCTCTTCTCCTGGCAGCTCTGTGCATGCGCACACTGAGGACAGGCTCCAGCTGTTCTTCTTCCCCACTGATCTCCAACTCCAAAGGCAGCTGATAACTGTCGGACGGCCCTGGCCCCATCTCTGCCTCCGATGCAGAGCCCCTCGTCCGAGCCTTCCTCAGCCTCCAGGACTGGCCCAGGTTCCTCCCAAACCACCTCGCTACTGTCCAACTCTGCTGGCAGCTCGGTCAGCCGCCGGCGGGCCACAACTCTCTCGCGCAGGCCTACCGATCGGTCTCCCATTTTCTCTCCGCAGATGTTTGTGCGTCTCTTCGTGGACGAGAACCTGGACCGGATGGTGCCCATCTCCAAGCAGCCCAAAGAGAAGATCCAGGCTATCATCGAATCCTGCAGCCGGCAATTCCCGGAGTTCCAGGAACGAGCTCGCAAACGCATCCGCACTTACCTCAAATCTTGCCGTCGCATGAAGAAGAACGGCATGGAAATGGTGAGAGAGCCCCCCCCCCCTCACTCTTTTTCTCCCTGCCTCTTTCCCTTCTCTTTCTCCTTCAAAACCCTCAGCAGGGTCGTCTTCGGGCCACCTCTGGGTGGTCTTTTCCAGAGAAAGTTCAGACCTTCCAGTGGCCCAAAGACCAGCTGTTGAGGCAGTGAAACATCTGGAGCAGCGGTGGGCAACTCTGGCCACTTTACCACCCATGGACTACAATTCCCAGAATTCCTGAGGCAGCCATGCTGGCTATGGCGCCTTTATGACTTGTGGACTTCAACTCCCAGAATTCCTGAGGCAGCCATGCTGGC